AGATGTTCAGGGAACAAATTATGAATCTAAAATTCTTTATACTTTTCTAGAGAGACTTAACTAGGAAAACGGCCTTATGAAACAGATAATGTTGGCAGCAGCCAGCATTGCTGGTCAGGGATACATGTGTTGATGGGCAGCAGTGACCTGTATCTGTGGGATGGTCTGATAATCTAGGTAAGAATAGATGGGCTGAGCTGGCAGCAATGGCAGAAAATGGAGAGATGGAAGACTGGTGATGCCTTTCAGGTTTCAGAGTGGAGTGCCTTACCTCACCTTATCCCAGTTGGTAAATTAACAAAGTTGAGGACAGAGTTTGGGTTTGCCCAGTAGAAGATCTCCAAGGTGTGCCCACATGTAGAAGCCCCACACATGGATACACATGGGCTGAAGCATCACGGCATGCTGTAATGAATTGAAATCCTTGAGGAACCTTGAGATATTATTGACATTTGAAGAGCATGTTGCTTGAAGATAGATTAGATCAAAATACCAAAAAAGAAAGAAAGAAAGAAAGAAAGAAAGAAGAAAAGAAGAAAAAAAAAGGGTGTGTAAAGATAGCCATTGATGGAACTCTCAGAGGGTGATTGAAGGACAAGAGTCTTGGAAGAAGACTGAGTTGAAATACTTAGAGAGGTGGGGGAAGGCAGAAGAAGATCCTTAAATACCCAGAGTAGGTCCAGTTTTGAAGAAGGTGCAACTAAAAAACACAGTTGTGGCTACTGTTTGGAACACATAGGGTAACAGTGGTGGAAATCGCTCCCAGGACAGTGGAGTGGAGGCAAGTGCTCTCTCGGCTGACAGAGAGCTGGATGAGAAATTAGAGATGAATGTTTAAGCTGTCAGTTTCTGAGACTGCATTGCCTGATGTGGTCATGTAACTGCAGGTGGGAGTTCTGCAGGCTTTGGCAACAGCGACAGTTTCTGAATTTGCAGCAACCAAAAATTAACTCAAAATTCAACCTGTATTGAACCCCTAGTATTTCTAGCTACACTCACCTGTGCTGTTTCATGAGACCTTACTGCTGTCTTGGTTCTGAGCACATTACACAGGCACATTGCCATGCCATGTGCACACTACACACTGAGGACTTTAAAAGCTTCCTGAAAAGCCTGGCTTCTGATTCAGGACTATTTGAGGTTACACAGTGCAGTGGTGGTGGTTGTTGCTCATTTTACTGTGCATACAAGTTTTTCTTCCCTCATAGAAATCAAATACTTTCATTATGGAAACAAAGAATATTTTCTACCTTCATTCTTCAGCATGATTGAATTGGATTATCTTTGATTTGTATTGTCTTAGGATGTATGATTTTAAAAATTGTTTGATTTGCTGACTTGTTTGATGGACTGTAAAAAATTACTCCATAAATTTTGGCTTGTTATTAGGACATAGTTTCAGCAGTTTCTGAAGTGACCCTAAACATACTTATGCCACTGTTTACTGTATATTTGTGTGAAGTGGCTGACACACTTGGTGTTGATACTTATAAAATCAACTTACCAATCAACTCTAAAAACATTGAAAATAATTTCATCTATGTCACAGAGGGTTAAACTTTCAATCAAGATTGAATTCTTTATGTAAAAATAAACGAATTTACTTCATATAGTAAATAGTCAAATTATGTACATACTAAGAAATATTCTAAAATATTCAACTGACATAGGGTGACGCAGGAAGAATGAGCACCCGTTAGTGCATGCATGGAGGGTGTGATGAGTGCGGGACAGGTCCTGACTCCTTATCTTTACATGAAGAGGAGAAATGATATAAACCCCCAATAGGCTGTTTTTTAAAAATTATTTTAAATTTTAATTTATAAATTTCAATGCATAGAAACATAAATTGTTTCAAAGTCTTTAAACCCCAATGGAGGAAAAGTTATTACTTAGTGGTAATGTAGATAGTTACTTTTATTAAAGAGTCTTGGTAAAAGCCAATTTCAAAACTCTATGTACCACTTTTTCATCTATCAAAGAGCGTGCTCAAATTGTATTCTTGTCATGGGCATTTTGGAGCTTGAGGACAACAGAAGTGTTGCAGCATGAATTTTCAGTGCTGATTTTGACCATAGTGAAGTGACTGTGAAGGCTGAAGGTCAAGCATTTGATTGATTGGGTGATTAAAATTCCTTTTAAAACAAATTAGATGTGCTAGATTTGCTACAGGTTAGAAGTACTACATGGAAATGAATCTCATTAGCAATGAAAACTTCTTGGATCCTCAAAAAGGAAGTTTTATGTTCTATACACACACACACACACACACCCATGAATGACTTAAGATACAGTTCAAGTATATTCAACACGTCGTTTTTCATTATGTTTATAAACATATGCAACCAGTAGATGACTGTGTTTTTATGTTTAATTTAGAGATTTATACTGACTCTAGTAGTTGAGGTTAGCCATTCACCGTATTTGCCTTTATATTTTCAGGTTATTAGATTTGTGATCAGGCCTTGGATTCGTGATCTTTGGCTTAGGAGAAAGTGGTGTGGAAGGAAGGAAGTCTGCAGGCAGGAGAGGTATAGCTCCCACTGGGCGGAGGGAATGAGGAGGGCATTTGGGGTGATGGTCTGAAGTGGAAATTTCTGGACTCTTTGGAGCCTCAGTTATGTGATACTTTGCTGAAGCAGACACAGGTGAGAGGATGTTTTGCTGAAGCAGACATGTGATAGGACTTGAGAAGATTAGAAAAAAATAGAAGTATAACCCTAAGACAATGTGATGAAGCTCTTGCATTGGTTCACATTGATCTGCTTTGCTGATCTTTACTTGTGATGACTCTGAGGAGAATAAATCACCAAAGAACTCCTGGTATTCTGGTGGCTTCTTGCTGGTTTCATGGATTTGTGTAGATCAGTCTGGACTGCTGCTGCTGATTCGTGTTTGGTGTTTTGATAGTGGACCGGACTGCTGACAATATTGGAGTAGCACCAAAGAACAATTTCTAAACAGGGCCACAACCCGTTTCCTATTAACCTTTCTTTTCTTGACCTCTGGTAGGTGGCTAGAAGGGAGGTAGAAGCATTAAAGACCCCTTGTTAAAGTAGGTTTTGAAAAATCCAAGTGTACAGTGGTCTGAGGAAGTAATGTGTGAAGAGCACATACATCTTAGGACCTATTTCAGGACGTATTTGAGCTATATGTACTTGCATGTATGTTATATCCACACAAGGACCTTGGTAAAGAAAATATTAAAATTGTTTTAGTTTATGTGGAATAAGTAAGAGGAGGTGAGAAGATGTCAAAAAGATCCTTAAGAAGGAAAGACTGTTGGAGATGACGATAACTGCCATTAGAGTGGGAATTACTTCAACAGAGCTGCTTTTCAGGTTTTTAAAACTTACCTTGTTTTAGAATTTAGATATGTAGGCATGCAGGATAAACAGGCAGTATGTTCCTGGTTACCTGGAGGCTGGGTGGGGTGAGCTCTGTTTTCATTTTTACTAAAGTATTTCTTTTTTCTTTTTTCTCTCTCCTTGTATGCCCCCCTTTCCTATTGTCCCCATCTCCACCCACCCCTAATCCACCCTCAGGGTTTATTCTATTTCTCCTTCCCAGGGAGGCTCATGTGTCTCCCATTAAGTACTTTTAAAAGCATCAATAGATGTAGCATAGTCTCTCGCTTGTTGTCAAGTAGGATATTTATAAGAGCAGGGAACTTTCCTTTTCCCTTCATCCTGTTAGAACTGTACGATAGTCTTAGCCTATTAGCCTGTTTCTGAGATGATTAGCAGTCTAGCAAGTGAAGTATGCCGATCAGTGTGTTATCTGTAGTCATCTTAGCTTTATAGTCTGGAGATATGGGGCTTCTTTGATTGTACTGTATTGCAGTGGATACTTAGATGGAAGGGTATTTCCTGACAGATAAGGCCAGTGCTCGAAGGCTTACAGCTCATAGGTGGAGGGTCATGGTCTATGAATAGCCGCCTCTCAGTAAGGACTGCAGGGAGGCAGGTGAGTAAGACGAGAGCTGGTCATGAGAGTTTCTACTGTGTGCTAGCCCATATGTGTGGAGAGTGGATGAAATCCTAAGGAAATGTGTATTGTTATGTGAGCACAGTCATGTCAAGCCCCCTAATGCCTCAGTCCTATGGGAATGGTAAGACTTTTCCTAGGTCAGGCACAGGGGAATGGCAAGACCTTCCAGAGGTCTGAGTATGGATGTTGACACATCCCTGTGCAGATAGTACCAACTACAGCTTCATCCTCCCAGGTGACTGCCACCCGAGACTGCTCCCTTATAGAGACTGAAGCTAGCTAACCTGCCTTTGTTCAGCGGTAGTGACTGTGTTGACTCTTCTGGCTGCTGGTGCCTCTCCATTACAGCGTATGGCCTGCATGGTCCCGGCTTTTCTTACTTGTCATTCTTCATTCCTCATCACCCCAGTCAGGCCATTCTGAAAGTCATGCAGGTCATGCACACGTATGTTAATCCTGACATATGACTCTGTTTTTAACATGAAATATTTCTGTCATGGCAAAGTGCACAAGACATAAACCTTGCCATTTCCAGCATATAGTATGTTAGTACTACATACATCCCATTTCTGTGCCTCTGTCACACCGTCCATCTCAGTCAGTCTAAACTGAACCTTTACATCCATTAAATGTCACCTCTTCACTCCTTCCCCACCTAACTGGAGACAGCTGCCGCTGTTCTGCTTTCTATCTCTGCGTATAGCTAATGTGGGATTATGCAGCATTTGTCTTTTCACAAGTGGTTCATTTCACTTGGCACAATATTTTAAGGTCATCTGTGTTGTATGTAGCACATAAGGGCACTTTCCCTTTCTAGGTTACAACACATCTTATTTATTTATGCATCTTCTGATGCACTTTTGTATTGTTTTCATTTTTTGCTTTTGGGGATGACATGACCATAACAGTGTGCTCCTGGTATCTCATTGTGTCCCTGCTTTTAGTCCTTGTTGTCATACATTGCAGCGTGTAACTGTTGAACCATAAGATAATTTTGTCTTTATTTTCAGGCTCTTCTGTACTGTTTTGTGAGAAGGCTGCCTGATTTCACATTCTCACAAGCAAGTGCACAGGGCTTCCAGTCTCCACCTAGGAGGTAGGTATGATTGCCTTTAGTGTTAGAATGCAGGAAGGAAGAAGTAGAGAGAAGCTTAGTGAGTGTCACACAGATAGAATCAGTTCATATATGTGGATTGGAATTTACACTCAGCCATCAGACTCCAAATGATGTCACATGACACACAGGTTTGAGAAGGCACAGAGACTAAGCAGCAGCACTGGATTCAAAGTCTGCCAGAGAGTTGGTGCTGGGAAGCTACTGTTAGCCTTCCCCCTTTTATGTGAAAATGATATTTAAAATAGGGTAATCTTTAAATGCCATTATATGCCTTTTCCCTGACTTTCTGAATTTATATTTTAAAATGTTTCTTTTATTTAAAATATTGTCTTAAAAATGTCAGCACTGTTTGGTTTTCCTTTTGACTTTCTTGAGTAAATTTTTTCTTTAAACCTTTTGAATAAATATGCATTGGTTCTAGTGAATTTTAAAATATAGCTCTATTCGATCCCTCTCTGTCAGAAGCTTGCTTTGAAATAAAACCAAGCAAAGTATCTAAAGCCGGTTTAAGCTGGGGAAGCCTGGAGGGGAGCAGTGGTAAACACTGTGGGCTTCTTTTTATACAGATAAAGTAAACTTACAGCTTTTATCCACAGAGGAAAAGTAGGAACACATTCATTCTCCTACATATATTTTGCTAAGAAACTTGGTTCTCTCTGAAAGAGACACATGAGGCTATGTGGCTTTTAGAGATAGAGCTATGACCTGGGGTGCCTTCATGTCACAGGGTCTCCAGCACCTTACATTGCTACTAGCCAGGATACACGAGTGTCTTCTGGAGCTGGCCTCCTCATAGCTGCCTTGTAAGCAGGGATCCAGAGTGTGGTCTGTCCTCAGCTTCTCTTGCAGAAGGAGAGAAAGACATACTAGCCCAGCCTTTGGCTCACATGCTGCTGAGCTACTGCTCAGAGGCAGAGTGCCTCTTGTCATGCAGGAGGCTGTATGCAGTCCCAGCAATAAACAGAAACAGAGAGATGCTCAGGCCCATCTGGTGAAGGTGTGGGGACTTGGCTATTTTCTCCCTAACCCTTTTCTAATATGCTTGCTATTCTTTAAGTCTTAAAAGTTTTACTATGATGAATCACAAAAATGTCTTTTCTCATGCTATCCTCATTAGCTAAGATTTCTGGGGTATATTCCTTATATATAAAGGGAATCTCTATTATTAATACTTGATTTGTGGCAGAAAATTACTCTTCTGTTTTGCTTTAGTGCTGGTTGCTATGGCAGAGAGATTTAGATTACTCTATAGAGCTATGCACGTCAAAATACAGAGGAAGGACAGAGATTTGCCTCTCTAGATTTCAGTGCAAGCTGTAGATCACCTTCTGTGTTTGGTGATGTATTAATCAGGGTTCTCTAGAGGATCAGAACATATGGAATGAATTGGTAAATATATACAAAGAAGATTTGTTAGAATGGCCTATAGGCTGTGTTCTAGCTAGTCCATCAGTGGTTGTCTACCAATGGAAGGTCCAAGAATCCCGTGGTAGTGCAGTCCATGAGACTGGAAGTTTCAACTAGTCTTCAGAATACTCAGGAATTCTGAAGAAGTTGACTTTAATGCCAGTGAAGGAATTGATATGCTACTGAGAGCTAGAGCAAACAGGTGAAGAGAGAGCAAACAAGCGTCCTTTTTCCATGTCCTTTATATAGACTGCCGTAGCAACCTCGGTTCAAATCTGAGTCACAGCATCAATGATGTATTTATAAAAGTATAAAGAGAATATGTTCTGTGGGTGTGTATGGTGAGGTATGGGGGAAGGGGATGTCTCAGCGGGCCCATGCTAAGACATCCCTTCCCCCCGAGGGACCAGCCACAGGATGGTATAGTATAGAATAGAGTTTATTCAG